GGAGGCTGGCAAGTCCAAAATCTGCAGACTAGGCCCACAGGCCGGAGCTCTAGGGAGGAGTTTCAGGTTGAGGCTGAAAGGCCGTCTGCTGGGAGAATTCCCTCTTCTTCCTGGGAGGTCAGGCTTTTTCTGTTAATATGAATGTCTTCAACTGATCGGAGGAGGCCCCACCCATATTATGGAGCATAATCTGCTTTACTCAGCACCTACCGATTTAAATATTAATCTTATCTAAGAAAAAAATACCTCCAGAGAAACATTCTAGAATAATGTCTGACCAAATATCTGGGTACCGTGGCCTAGCCAAGTTGGCACAGAAGACGAACCGTCACAGGCATGTGCTTGGGTAGTGAGATGGAAGGACGGATAGCTACGTGGGTGACAAGTGGTCGATGGCAATAATTTTATATAAGATGAATTTTTATAGCTGCAGATGATTTCATAGAATGGATATACCGTGATTTATTTAACATTCCCCACCGTTGGGCGCTTTGGCTAATTTCTACTTCTTACTTATTAATTATGTCAACATGGGCCTCTTTGCCACCTGTGAGCTCCCGGTCCGGCCCGTGCCTTGGCACAGGGTGGAGAGCAGGGACCATGCAGCCCTGTCCGCAGGGGCCTGATCCGGCTCACACGTGCTGCTGCTCACTGGCTTTGTGGTTTCAGGTCGGACGAGCCCTCTCCACAGTGGCTAAAGGAGTTGAAATCCAAGAAGAGACAAAGCCTTTATGAGAATCAAGTTTGACCAGGTACGCAGGGACTCTGCCGGGGAGACCTGGGAACTTAGGCAGGGGGCAGAGGGAGAAGGGGGCTGCAGTTCTGAGTTCCTGTAAAGAGGGTGGCGATGGTCTGTTTCCATCGCGGGGCAAACAAAGCCAGGCAGTCCGGAGTGGGTGAGAAGGCACCAGGCCAAGCGTCGGGTGCCCAGGCCGTGGGCTTGTTTGCACTTGGCACGTCCTTGCCGCACCCCTGTCCCCTTTATAAAGTGAAAGGGTGGGACGGCAGAGGGCAGCTTCACCTGAAATGTTTCAAGTTTTTACGTGGGGAGTGTATTCATGTACAACCTGCATAATTAAAAATTAATTTGAAAATATATGTATTAAAAAAAATCAAGTGATTAGATAGGCCCTGGTAGAAGTCTGAAATGACGTAACATCGTGAACTTCAGCTACCTCATCTGTAAAATGGGTTAGCAGTGCCCGCGTCGCTGAGAGTGCACCGAAAGTGCTCGACCGAGTGCTGCCCGTTCACGTGCGGTGTGGGAGCGCCCGGCGTGTGCACCTCTGCGTCCGCGCTGATGACACTAGCATGAGAGGCTTTACCATCCCTCATCCACAAACCCGAATTCCAGAAAGCTCTGAAAACAGAGTTTTTTTATAACTCACCTGTTGGCAAAACCCGACCTCCATGGACGTAATATATTCAGACTCTATTTTCCCCACTTTATGTGACTATTCATAGTACACTGTGGGTATATTGTATGCTTCATTATGGGGGTGTTACACAGTATGCATGGATTATATATAATATGTGTTACATGATTTTTATATATATGTGTGTGTGTGTGTGTGTGTGTGTGTATTGTAAACTCAAAAAAAATTGTAAATTCCCAAGTGCCTCTATGCTGGAGAGATTTGGGTAAGGATCAGGGCCTGTGTTTATTCTGTGTTTAGTGCAGTGCATGCGACACCTCATTTAAGCCTCCAGCAAGCCATTTGAGGCCACCGAGGCTCAGAATTGAGACCGGAACGCTGACCTGACCCTAAGTTTCATGTTCGTTCCATCAGACTGTCTGCCACCTCCCTTACCCTCCCGACCCCCTGCCCCAAAACATCTCTTTCCTGGCCTTAAGCTTCTAGGGATGGCTTTCTGGGGGGACATATCAGAAAGGGCTTTAAGGCCTGATGGTGGAGAGAAAGGGTGCCAAATGTTCCCACCGCTGACGCTAACACTGTCCCTTCCTCTCCAGACAGGGGACTCCGCCACATCCAATGAACAGAAGCCTTAACCGTCAGAACCCACAGACGAGGCCGAGCTGCTGCCGCTCCTTCCCGCCCCGCGCTCACGGGCCTGGGCCCTTCCCGTCGGGTGGAGGACGCTGGCCAGTGCCCCCCGCCCTTGGCAAGCTCTCCCCGAACCCGGACGGGAAGCCCCCCGCACCACAGGCACTCGCTCACCTTCCCAGACGGCACTTCCGGCTGAGAAAGAAACCAGGCTGCCCAGAAACGTCTACGCGGGTGGTTTTGCCTTTTATGTAAAAATCTGCATTTCTACCCACTTTACACACCATCCGCAGCTCCAGGAACATCAGCGTGAGGCTGGCCTGCCTCCCTTGGTTCTGAAAAACACCTGGATTGTGAGAGCACCTCTTCGCCCCACCCCCAGGGCAGGTCTTTTTTGGAAGAACGTTTCCAAGGAAGGTCAAACCGTTCATTTCCCGCTGTAGTCTTGGTCCGAGGCCTTACCACCGGGTCGGGGGTTTTGATGGCTCTTTCTAGGGAGTTCCTTCTTCCCCTGGAGGAATCGGCAGTTCCAGTTTTTAAACAGACCCTCCCGAGGCTTTCAAGTGTATTTACCCTTCCAGCGGGGCCGCGTGCATAGTTGACCTGTGTCATTTTATGTCACCTTTGTCGGGGTTAGAAGGCGATAAAGCAATAATTCAGCCAATTTTCTTTGAAACTTGATATGTATATATGTTTTTACGTTAAAGGACAGGAGGAAAGACGTGTGTATAGGTTGTTTTGAAGTATCCAATCACCTCAGGTTATCTTATCCCTATCCAAGCGTTTTAGACATTTTAATTGTCACTCTTGTATATATTTTCCTGGTTTCTTTTCATTTGAGCTCTGATTTCTGTGGGGTGACCTTTGTCCCTCGGCCTCAAGGGTTCCTAAACCGCAGCCCAAATGGCCTTTGCCACTTAACATCAGATGAGCCCCCGGGATCTTCTTCCCTAGTCTTTTCTGAACACGACCGGCCTGCCGGCATGGAGGAGGCGTTCCCAGTTGGCCTCGGAACAAATGCACGGATGAGGGGCACTTTTCGCTGCTTCTCACCTCGTTTTTCCATGCTGCAGTTCACCTGACCACGTGCTTTTCTTGGTCCAAATGCAAGTCTTGCCGAGAGCCCCTCTTTGTAGGGAGCCCCCGACGCCAGGGACTCTGGACAGAGGAGCGGGGTGCCTCGTGATGACCTGTAAGACTTCCCTTGCCTCCTTTTTTCTTGCTAACTGTAAGCTCATTCCTGGGAATCTCCAAGACCTCTGGAGGCTCTAGACACTCTTCTCTGTCCTTCTTTTTGGAAATCCTTGGCACCAGCCTCCTCGTTTCTGAAGCCCCAGACATGCTTGGCTGGCCACCTGCCGTGCCCGGGTTGCCATAGTCTTTGTGCCAACCTTGCCTGGGAGACGCCCATGGTGAGACGCTTGGGCGGTTCGTAGGGCAGCCCGTGATTGCAGAGGGCCTGGGGCTCAGATCCCTAATGGATCCATGCACAGCACTAGCTAGATATGGAAGTGGGAGGCACATGTGTCCTCCCCTCCCCACTCCGACTTCCCAAGAGATAAAAGTCTTTCTTGATAAATCCATTCTGTGCAAATAAATGGTGTCAAAACATGCTTCTCATCCCCCTGGCCACTGCTCCAAGAGTCTCCATTCCTCTCTCCATCTCATCTTCCTCCTTCATCTCCTTTTATGTCTCCTCTTGTCTCCCTTAGAGAATGGGTGGGTGTGGATAGCAGTCCTCTGTTTTTCTCCAGGTTGAGACGAACACCTGTGCCTGGTGTGGGGCTGCGGTTAGCACTAGGGACAGCAACCGCACCCCCACCACCCCCCACCTGCTGATGGGCGGTTCCTGGGCCTGTCCTGCCCCAGCCTTGTGTGTCTGGAAGCCTCGTGCATCCAGGTTTGGGTGTTTGGCCCTGCTTGATAATGGAGCCAGTGATCGATCGATTCTCTTTGGCTATTTAGGGATTTAATTCTTCCAAGAACTGCTTCCATTAATTTTTTTTTAAAAATCCAATTACTGTTTTGTAACAATTTTGATATAGTGGCTTTCCACATCCATGGCACCCCTCCTTTGAAACATGGTCCTAGTGTTTCAACCCTCACTTCTTTTCTCAGCTGCGGTCTGTCTTTCCTTCGGGTGGGAAGGGCGCTTTGGTACCACCCCAGGCCGTGGGAAAGGACCTACTCTTAAGTGCAGTGGTACTCGCCGTGCAAAACTCTTAGTTCTTAACTAGTCATATTTAGTCCAAGAATACCCGACAGGAGAGAAAAACACTTGAAATTTCAAATGAGATTGATCTGGAGATCTCTTGCCTGACCTCCCACACCTCGACTGGAAATAAAAATCCATTGAATTCCGTGTTGATCAGAACATGCAAAGCCACCCCCTTGAAACTGACTAGGGCACGTCCCGAAGGGCTTACGCACCTCTTCACTTTTTGCAGCCTCGTCCCCTCCAGCGCCACAGAGCAGACAATCCCAGGGGTCAGGAGCGACCCTCCGAACAGGCTTCCCATGACCTTGATCAGCGCAGTGAGGCTAGAAGGGACTGGTGTTCTGGAGCCTTTGCAGAGAGCCGGGGCCATGGGTCATTTATTTCTCCTTTTTCTAAGCTGTGTGAGCTCTTTGGGGCTAAGCGAGGGGTCGAACGGTAGTTTCTGGAGTTTGCCTGGAGCCCCCTTTGGAAATCTGTCTTCTTTTAAACTCACTTAATATGCCTTAATATCGTCTGTGTGCAATCAAGTCACCTGCCCCCACCCAGCCCTCCGCAAACGAGTCTTACAGAGTGCAAACCCCTGTGTATGTGCAATTGATCTCTCGCTCCTCTCTCCCCTACCCCTTTGCACATCAGCATTTTGACAGCTGGGCTTTTAGTAAGTCTGTATCTCCCCCTCCTCCCTTCCTCACGGTCCTTTGCCTAAGGAAACAGAGGCTTTTGCCCGTGAAATTCCACGGCGAGTCCTCAAAGAATCAGTGCTGGGGAGAATCACCCAGTGCCACCAGAGAAGCTCTAGCGAAAGGGAAACCTCGTGGTACTTGGGACATTTGCGGTTTTGAGGGAAGCTGACCTGGCAGCCTCGGGTTTTCCAGGATTCAGGGAAAGGACAATCAGACGGCAGTGTTTTCCAGGGGCACGAGCCTAGTCACGTGCTTTCGGACAAACGTGTTTTCCTTCGTGCATCCCCGGAAGTGAGGCCAACTCCAGGGTATCCCTAAGGAACGAGAACAAACATAGGCATGAGCCTGAGGTCTCAACCCTTAGAGGCTGAGCAAGGAATGTGGAAAAACCCTCAGTGTGATTTTCCCAAAGGAGACCTCAGCCGCTCCCGGCTGGTGCTGACGGCTGCCTCGTCGAGCTACACTTTCAAGTTTTTCATCGTGATATACCCCAGTCTACCCCTCTCTCCACCGTGCAGATGTCTAAGCTGCGGCAAGTCACTGCAGTGGCCGGAGACGTCCTCGCTCCCCTCCGCCACGTGTGGGAAGACGAAAGCCGAGGTCCCCTGGCATCATGAGTCTGCGGGGTGGGAGGGCAGGGCTGAGGTGCGGGAGCCACTGGAAGCAGGCAGGACACGCTCCACATCTGGAAGGGGACAGGCAGGACGCGCTCCACATCTGGAATGGGACAGACAGGACGCGCTCCGCATCTGGAAGGGGACACTCACTCTGTGCGGAGAAGCTGCTGGGAGTCACCCTGTTGGAATTCCGGCCAGGCCACGGCTCCGGGGACCTAGAGCCACATACAATGCCAGGAGGCATGAGCGTGCCAGGTCTGTGCCAGTCTGTGTCTCCTTTTGCACCAGCCCCCTTCTAGAAGTTTCTCTCTTTTGTCTGGATCAGCTCCTGGAGGAAGAGGGGGAAGCAGAAAGCGGGGCTTCTCTGCTCCAGAAAGTCGGCCTGACGTTTCTGGCAAGTTAACCCTCGACATCAATGCTTCTCAGCCTCTCCCTTTCGCCATCCCAGAATTTCCTTAAATAGCTGCCCTCACACCTGTCCCATAACCTGTCCTCTTCCAGGCCCTGGACCGGCAGCTCCTTGACAATCTCCGGCGGCATTTCGCCGGCTAGATACGATGCTGTTGTCTAAAGAAGAATTTGAGCTTTTTAATGATCTCATTCCAAATAGCCTTATAGATCTTGTAAATAGGGGCTCACAAAAGTAATATATTGTATTATGGAAGATATTTTGTACTGTGTGGTTTCCTAAATCCTAGAAGTCATGCACTTCTTCCCCGGGTAATTACCATCCTCAACATGCTTTGTGAGATGGGGCGGGGGATGGAAATATATATAAAGAGGGTATATATTTTCCTAACCTTCCTTCCGGGTCCCTCCTCAGATAGAGTCACGAGAGGAAGAACTCGAGTTCTGTGTGCGTAGCAAAGTTACAGCTTCCTCACCACAGTGTTCTTGCAATTGCCTTATGAATTCACAAGCTCTAGGAGTTCTGAACGGAAGGCAGACGAGAGGCACTTTATCCAATCCCAGAAAAAAAAATCTCTAACCGTGTTCATCTTGAAAAACTTATATTTTTAACGTAAGAGAAAGGGGGGCAGGGCTGTGCTTCCTGGACCTCACAGAGTATTGGATGTCTACAAGTGCTTTTATATTTTGTAACTGTAAAAAGTTTCATATGCACAGAAGAGCAGTCGGATCGGGTCCACTGCAATAAAACAAGATGACCTTTGCATGTACAAAGATGTTGCATTCAGACTACGAAAATAGCAAATAAAGCTTTGACGCAAGTTGCACTGGAGAAGTTGATACATCCGCATGTGAATGAACGGAGTCTCTGTGCGTGCGAGCCCTGCCCGGGACCGGCTGAGTCAGTCTCTCCTCTGTGCTGAGCTGTGGTGGGGCAGCAGGAGGGCATGGCTGGGGTCCTGGGAGAGGGTGTCTGTCCAGGGTGGGAGGCCGTGGAAACAAGATAGGATTTCCATTCAGACCGACAAGTGGTTAAATCCTTGTTCTGCCGCCTCCTGGCTGTGGGATTGTGGTCTGTTTTTTTTTTTGTTTTGTTTTTTGTTTTTTGTTTTTTTTAAGAGACAGGGTCTTGCTCTGTCACCCAGGCTGAAATGCAGTGGCCTGATCATAGCTCACAGCAACCTCAAACTCCTGGGCTCAATCAATCCTCCAGCCTCAGCCTCCCAGTAGCTGGGACTACAGGTATATGTCACCACGCCTTGCTGATCTTTTATTTTTTCTAGAGACAAGGTCTTGCTATGTTGCCCAAGCTGGTCGCAAACTCCTGGCCTCAAGCCATCCTCCTGCCTCGGCCTCCCAAAGTGTTGGGATTACAGGCATGAGCCACAGTACCCAGCCTGGGGTATTTCTGAGCATTGGTTTTCCTCAGCTGTCCAACAGGGGTGGTGGTAGCGACATTGGTGGGCATGAGTTTGAAGCCGTGGTTCTCAACAGGTGGATTGTACCTTTCAGGGGACATCTGGCAATGACGGGAGACATTGTTGGTTATCACAAGGAGGGGAGAAGATGCTATGGGCATCAGGGAGTAGAGGCCAGGGATGCAGCTCAACATCCTGCAGTGCCCGGGACAGCCCTCCCCCTCCCCCACCACGAAGAATGATCTGGGCCCAAGTGGCAGTGGCGTCGAGGTTGGGAAGTCTGATCAAGGAGATGGCGCGTGTGCAAGTGCTGAGCGCGTCGCAGCTGCTCGGATCCTGCAGGAGCTGATGGCAGGAGCCACCCCATCCCCACCTCTGCCTTCCTCTCCGTACCCCCAGCCAGGGGCCACTGCACCCCAGGTTAAGGGGTCCAAAGCAATTCTGCTTTCCGTGGTCACCAGCAGGAAGTAGCCACTTGGGTTGAACTGTCCGTAGTAGGCAGGATCCTTGGAATGAAAGTCAGAAGTGACAGACACCGTGCTGACTGCTTCACTCCCGTGATCTCCCAGGGGCTCGGGTGGAGAGAAAGTTCTCTGTTGAGGGGTGAAGAGACTGTAGCTCTTCCCTTCAGTAACGCCCAGGTCTGACTCCAGAGTCCGGCTGTCACCCAGCAGCCCGCCGTCATCGCCCTGTAGGGAGGTAACTGGGTTCGATGCTGACTTGAGAATTTTAGCCCAAAACAAATAACAAAAGAAAACCTTGTGGCTTAACCATTCCCTCGTTAGCCCCATCATCCTTTTAGTCATTCAAGAATCATTGAGTAAATCCTTGCTACAGGCAAAGTTATACGTTGTTAGACACTTTAAAAATGCCTGGATCCTCCCCCTTTTTGGCCATAAATAGGTGACTATCGAGCTCACCTTTATGAAGGCTAAGAGCCCAGCCCAGGTTCCCCTAGGTGAGTTTACCTTGCTCAGCTCAGTTTCTGCACCCGTAACATGCAGGTGACAATTCCTTCCCTGAAGGTGGCCGGGCGGGGATGAAACATAAAGCTTAGGACGCTGGCACGGTGCCTGGCACGTAGTAGGTCTTCAATAAACGGGAGCTGGTATTGCTAGATGCTTCCCATGGGCAGAAAGTAAGTCTCCCTGGGGTCTGTCACAGCATCCTGTGAAAACAGTTGGAGGGATTCGTGCTTGACCTGGTCAGTGTTTAGGGTGGTCTGACTTGAAATTTAGGCCACGCGGCATAAGGAAAATAGAGGGCTTCCGGGGTCCCTCCGAGGTGGCATGTCCCCCCATAGGAAGATGGCGGCACCGAGAAAGAAAGGGAGTTGGTGGGAGAGGGGACACCCCGATGACCCCGCCTGGCGCTGTCGGGCGTCCCACAAAGCCAATGAGGTCCATCTGCCCCCAGGAAGTCATCAGAAGCCACGGCCGAGGAAACAAGCGCTGGGGCCTCCCTGGACCTGCTATTGGAGTGCAACGGCCTGGACAGAATCGGGCGGACAGCGCGCTGCCTCAGCAGGCCAGGATGTGCTGGGCTGTCAGAAAGCGCCCATAAATAGGCAGCTCCTTGCGAAGGCGGGCCGCGTCTGCAGAAGGCCGTGGCTCCTCTGTCTGCCTGAGGCTACAGCAACAGGTTCACTGAGGGACAGGCGGGTGGCGGGAAGGGAAGAGCTGCCCGGGAAGGCGCAGACCGCTGGTGGCCTCCATGGTGCGTGCATGGCTGGCCCCCTGCCAAGAAAGATGGGGACTCGCTCGAGGGAAGGGGCCACGCAAGCTGGCCACCAAGCCCAGCTGGGGGTGGAGCTAGGGAGCCACGCTGCCTGCGTGTCGAGGGCGGTGGCTAGGGTCCGAGCCCCTGGGCATGTGCTTGGGCCAGGGGGGCTCCAAAGACGGAGCACTCTGAGGGAGGGACGTGGGCAAACTCGGAACCTGCCGCATCCCCTGAGGGCGCCCCATGAGCTGGACCAAGCCCTGTTTCCCGCCGGGGCTGGGCACAGACAGCGCAGACAGCACGCAGGCTACACGGCCCAGTGGCCATGCCGGGAGCCGTGGGCGGGTAACAGCTGGGTGTGGGGTGTAGATTTAGCTGCATTATGTGCCACCGCAGATGTCTGACATGGGCAAGTGTGTGGGTGTGTGTGTGTGTGTGTGTGCGCGCGCGCGCGCATGGGGGCGGGGAGAGAAGCTACACTGTGTGCCCGTGGGTGGGCTATGACTCTGCAGTGACCACGGGAGCGTGTGAGTGTGAGTGTACGCATGTGTGTGTCCACATGTGCAACAATCGTAGGCATCCTTCCATGTCACTACTGCAGGGGCCTGTGCTGTGTGTCACTCACTGTCCCTGTAGTGTCTGTGTCCCTTAAAGTGGCTGGTACACAGCAGATGCTTGATAAATGTGTGTGAAATGACAACCGAATCACAGAAACTGGGCTGGAGCAGGTGTCTGAGGACCTGGTCTCTAGATGTCTGTCTGTCCACCTCCCACCATCTGTGGCCTGCTGTCCATCCTGGTCACCCAGCCCAGGGCCTGGCGCTGAGTAGGTGCTCACAGAATCTTCGGTGAACAAAGCAACGAGTGAGCAAAAGACCATACTGCCTGGGGTACGGGGACAGGAGAGAGCCCTGCAGAGAGACCCCAGAGCCCACCCTCTGGCCAGGGTCCAGAGGAGCTGCCCCTGCAGAGAGATCCAGGAACCCTGGTTTGGGGAAAGTAGCAGAGTATGGGGTAAAGGGCATGGGCTTTGGAGCCAGGCCCCATCCTGGCCACTCACCGCGTGCCTCGGGAAAGTGGCCTCACTTGGCTGAGCCCTGGAGTTCCCCTCTACAAAATGGGGCTCCCGATCCTACTGACTGTCCAAAGCCCACATGCCCTGTTAGGTGCTCAGTGGGTGTTTGTTGAATGACTGAATGACTGAACATTGGCCCTGAGTATCGGGATCACGACCGTGTCCCACAGGCAGCAAGGTTCTGTAGCTCATCCTCAACTCCAGTCACGTCAATACCTGGTTTCTCCTGAGTGGACTTGGTGACTCTTTTTCTTTTGGTTTGAAGCCAGAGGCATCCCTGGGGAGATGGCAGAACAGCACGGAGCACCGGAACAGGCTGCGGCTGGCAAGAGTCACGGAGGCCTTGGGGGCACCTACAAGGTACCAGGAAGGGCTGTTGCTGGGTCTCAGGGTCGGCTTCCCTGCTAGGCAGCCTCTCTCCACAAAGGAGCGGCACTTCCAGCCAGCCGGGCCACGAGAATCGCTCTGGGTGTGTCCCCTCACTCCCACCCTCTGCTCTAAACTTGCTTCGAGACCTCACTGCATCTTCCCTCTTCTGTGTCCTCATCTGCAAAATGGAACCCGTCACCCAGGGCCCGCCTGTCTCAATGGAACAGGCAGGCCCGGAAGTTCCAGGAGACGTGGCTTTGAGCTCTGACTCTCCTGCCTGGCCTCAGCCCTGTTTCCTTCCCTCCCTGGGCCTCAATGTCTCCATCTTTACAATGGGCATGATGCCCACACTCCTCAGTGCCCAGAGTTGGTGTGAGGGCTCAGAGACAGTTCCCAGAACAGGGCCGGCTAACGGAGGGAGGCACACGAGAAATCTAAGGGAGACTTTGAACTTGAGGGCATTGCCTTTTGTAAACTGTCCCTGGGGGCTTTTTGAGAAACCACTGGAAATGAGCGCTGGGGATGGGTTGACTGAGCAAATAAATGGTGTCAGGGATATTTCTGGGGATGTCCTGGTGGCTTTAACGAGAGTGGAGGAGGCCGGGAAGGGAGGGCCTGACGCTTGGGTGACATTGGGCAAGCCTTGCCCTGCACCCTCAGCTTTCTCATGAGAACAGTTCAGGGTTGGTCTAGTGCCCTCCAAGGGCCTTGACAAACTTCCCAGAGGCAGAGGCCCACCAGGAAGGTGGACGTCACTGCCGTCCCTTCCTGCCTGCCTTTGTCACCTGTGCGGCTTTCCCTGTTCAAGCCACTGTGAGGAGTAAAAGAACCAGCAGACTTATTGAATTCTGGTGCCTCCACTTAACTAGCTGTGCAGCCCTAGGCAAGTGTCTTACCGTTTCTGAGCTTCTTTCAACCCTTTTGTAAAATGACCAGAACAGACGTTCCCCAGGAACCTTCTACAAAAACAAGTTTGTGCTTCCAGGTGGGTGAGAAAAGCAGAAATTCAGTCTGTCTTTGCAGCCCCTTCCTTCCCGGGCATGGGGGAGGTGAAGATCAACCCAGCATGTGCAAACGGGGGTTTCATTTGTCCTGCGCAGGTTTTTTAAATGGGGAAATTTCACATCAAGGAAAATACAGATTTCTGGCCTCTCTTGAAAAGTTTGGAACTGGGCCCTCATTCCCTCATGACCAGAAGTGGCTTCATTTCCCTGCAGCCCTCCCTTGGGTTATTTCACTCTCTCTTGGGTTCCCCACCTCGCTCTTGTCAATTAGTTGAGGTGCAATCCCTGGTCGAATTGGTCTCATTGAGGCTCCTGGAGTCGTTCCTCGCCATGGCCACCAGAGGGCAGTGCAGGCCGCCCGGTGCCGGCGCCGGGCTGGTTGGTACCTGCAGCGCGGACGAGCAGGTGGCACCTCCTCCAGCGCTCACGGAGGGGCGGCGGCGGGAGCCCCGCCAGGGAGGGATGGTTAGGATGCTGCTCTTCCAGGTGACCGTGTATGAACTGGAGAACTTCCAAGGCAAGCGATGCGAGCTCTCTGCCGAGTGCCCCAACCTGACGGACAGCCTGCTGGAGAAGGTGGGCTCCATCCAGGTGGAGTCGGGGCCGTGAGTACCCAGAACCCCCGCCCCTCGTCACCGCCCCGTGCCTTCCGGGAGCCCGGAGGTCGAAGTCTGAGCTCTAGATCTGTCGTGGGGCCTACAGCAACTTCCTTCTCCTCTCTGGCCTCAGTTTCCCCACCTGTAAAATGAGAGTCGAACTGTGATTCTCTTACAATCCTTCTAGCTCTAGATTTTTGTAATAAATAACAGGGTACCATGGAAAGAGAACAGAGAAAGGCAGCCCAGCACCCAGCTCAGCGACTGGAAAATGGGATTTAATATACATAATTTTAATAATTATAGCTAAAACACCTAAAATTTAACGCGCATCATATCATTGAACCCTCACAACCCCCGTATGAGAGTCATATCATTCTTATCCCCATTTTATAGATGAGGAAACTGAGGCCCAAGTGGTTAAGTGTCCCATGCATGTCTGGAAGGCAAACAGGTGTCACAACTGGGCTCTGAATTTCCGCCTTTGGACCGAAAGTCCAGGCTCTGGCACTAAGTCATCTGGGTGATGTTGGGCAAGGTTCTTCACCC